ATTGTAAGAATTTTCATTTCTAATCGAATTAAAAGGAAAAAAGTATATGTAAAAGTTTTATTATTTGGTTGTGTAAACCACCAATTATAACAAAATGGTTTAAAATGTAAATTTTCTATAATTTGACTAGCAGAAATAAGTGTTACAGCATATTCTTTATTTTTGCTCATTATTTTTATATGTTAAAGTGAGAGATTCTGAAAGATTCTAAAATAATTAAGTGTATTAACCCTGATTATCATATATGCTAATCTTTATTTTGTATATAGATTATAAATTAATAGTTAATATAATATAAGACTCAAATTATATAGATGTATTAAGTTCAAAAAATACTATGTAAGATTCTGCAGTTTTCAATATTAAAGATTATATGTAAGAATATGTTAATTTAAGAAGCAAATTAGAAAAATCATTATATAAGATTTATTTAAATCTAAAGTATTTTTATAAATAAAAAAAAAAGAAAATAAGTAAGAATAATAGTTGAGAAGAATGATGAAAAATATTTTAATAAAAAATATTACTATTTGTTAAATAAAAAAAAGATTTTGAAAAGAAAATTTATTACTTTGTTTATAAATTAAGTCTTAGCTATTCTTAAATAAATATATTTTTTATATAAAATTCTTAGATAAAATCTAATAAGAAAGAGTTTTTCTTTATAATATTTTATTTTATTAGTAATATTGATCTCTTTATAATTATTATAATTTTGATAAAATATAATTTTAATCAGAATATTATTATATATATAATTATTATATAAATTTCTTTTGATAAAAATTTATATTATATATGAATTTTACAAGGAATTAGTTAATTTGATTTTTTGTGAAATAATTATATTACAAAAAAAAATGATTTTTAAGTTATATATCATGTGATTTTATAAATTACAAAATTATAAGTTTAATCAAAATTAAAATAATTAAAAAATTTATATTTTTATATAATTATACTTTATTTAATTACTATTTTTAGGATAATTAAAGTTAGTTTTGATTATGTGACTTATAAAAATATTTATTACACTATATTATATCTTTATTTTTCATTCTTGTTAAATATTCTAAAAACTTTAAATTTTTTTAGTATATAATTTTTTATTTATTATATATTATTTGTTACTAGAACTATCACTTTAATGCTATAATTCTGACCAAAATATTATGATTAAATCCAACTTTAGCCACCTCTTATTTTTAGATAAAATTGTATTATTATATAGAAATTTAACTATATAATTAAAAATTACTTAATTATACTATTACTATATAGAAAAGTTGTTAAAAAAAATTAAACATTAGGAATTTTTAATAAAATTTTAATTTTTATTATATTTTAGTTCTTGATATTATTAAAGTAAATATAGCAAAATTTTAATTTTAGTTAAAAAATTTTTCAAAGTTTGATTTTTTTAGTAATTTTTATATATTTAAATATAATAATAATATAATAATTAAGCTATAAATTAAAGTTATTAATAAATTGAATAATTATTTAAAGTATAATATTTTTTCAATAATATTAAATTTTTAAATATTTTAATTTTTTTACTTTTTTTAAATTAATAAATAATCTTTAAAAAAATTAATTCTAAAAATTATAAATCTTATTTTATATTAAAATAATCTATAATAAAAGACTTAATAAATATTTGATTTAAAAATTAGAAAAAAAATCTTAAATAACTTTATATTTATTTTATAATAAAATTTTAAATATTTAATAGTATTATTTAAGTTTAAAAACTTATTATTATAAATAAAACTTAAATATTTAATAAAAAATATTTATAATAAAAGAAAAAATAATTATAAAATATAAAAAATTTAAATTTTAAAATAAATATTATATTTAATAAATATAGAATTTTATTATCCTTAAATTATAGAGATTTATAGGTAAATTTGTCTACTTATTTATTATAAATTAAATTTTATTTTATAAAAATTAAAATTTTTTTAAAAATTTTTTTTAATTAATTTTATAAATTATATTATATTATAATAAATTCTAATTTTAATTATATAATAAAAATCTAAAAGAATCTATATTTATAAATTTGTAATTTTTAAAAATTTTTTATTAACCTTTGATAATTTAAATAAATTTTATTTTTAATAATATAGATAGAATTAGTTATAATTACCTTATATTTTATAGTTTAAAACATTAAAATTGAAATACTCTTTTTATAATTACTATTATATGAGCTCTTTATAATAGAAAGGGAGGAAACTACCAAAAAAATTTTTTTTGAGTTAATGTTAAATCTAGACTTATTTTATTAAAAAAATAATATTTAACTTATAAATAAAAAATTTTTTTGGTAGTTTCTTCCTTTTCTATTGCAAAAAACTTATATACTAAACATTAATATTAATAAAAAAAATTGTATAAGTTTAAATTATTAAAAAATAAATTATATATTATCACATGTCATATGATATTTTTTAGATATAAAATTGCTTTTTTAAATGATACCTATTTCACTAAAAAAATATTTTTTTCTATTTTTTGAAATTACTATAATTAGATATTAGTGTAACTTTAATTTTCAAAAAAAGGAAATTTTAATTTTATAATTTTAACTGAAAATTATAAAAACGTGCAAAATACTAATTTTACTATAATTATATTTATTTATAATTATTGATTTTTGATTGATTAAAGTAGTGATTATAAACAAATCTAACTGTATTAATTATAATAAAATATTATAAAATTTATCATGAAGTATTAATAATTTTACTAATAATAAAATAATTTAATTAGTTTGCAAATATATAAATTTTAAAAATTTTTTAAAATATTATTATAATAAATATTTTAAAACTTAATTTTAAAAATTGAATTATTTAAAAAAAAAAACTTTTAATAAACTCAAAATTTTTTCTAATAAAGTTAATAAAATATATATTAAATTATATTTTTATATAATTTCACTTTTTTTTAGTTTACAAACAAATTTGTTTGTTAACCAGTCTAAAGAATAAATATATTTTAAAAATTCTACTGATATATATTAATTTTTAAATTAATTTTTTAATTTATATTAATTATTTTTATTAATATTAATTTTTATTATAAAATTTTTTAAACCAGTTTTCATTATTTATAATAGTTTAAAATAAAAAATATCAAATATATGATACAATAAAATTATATAATATAAAGGTAAATAAATAAATTATATTAATATAGTATAATCAGTTATAAACTAAAACAAAGAATTTAAAAAATAAAATAAAAAACTTAAAGCTATTAAAAAAATAATAATACCTCTTATTATAATAATAATAATAGTAAAATATAATAATATAAATGTATAGAAAGATAATATATAAAAAAAATAATAATTAAGAACTAGAGAATAATATATTAGTATAATAGAATATTATGTTATTGAAATAAGTATTTAAATATTTAATACTTTCTTTTTCTACTTTTAGCTAAATTTTAAAATAAATTAATTATGAATTATATTAAAATTATTAAAAAACATATAAAAGAAAAATATTGGAAATATACATTGAAAATATATATTAAAAAAAAATATATTCTACTAAGAATTGAAGATTATTATATAAAAACTATTTTTAGAAATTAATTAGCGGCGCATTCGACATTCGGTTATGATAAAGTCGAGTTTATATATTAATTAATTAATTTTAATTATAACTGTATTAAGTAAAATGGAAGTGATATACCGTATATAAACATGGATGTTAGGGTTAGTTTAAGGCTATTTTAGGTTTAGTTTAGTATTAATTATACAACTATTTATTATACCGTATCACAACTATTATGTTCGGTTTTACTAATTAATCTGTGACTGATTATATTACTTGTCATTTCTTATGTTTCACAAAAATGTTTCAACAACCCGTGAACGATTAGACATTACATTGCTTTATTATTATTATTATTATTATTACTTAAAATAAATTTAAATATTTCTTTAATAAGTTACTTAAAAAATATTTATGATTACATTTTAAAAACTCTGTTAATGTAAAAATGAACTTGAATATTTATAGAAATTTAATTATTAATAATTTTAAATAATAAATTAAATTGATCTTAACAAAATACAAATATTTTTATAATTTCATTTATTTATAAATATTAAATATATTCTGATATTCGAATATCAAAACTTAGCTTCTAATATTTTATTTTTATTTATTTGTAAACGAAATTAAAGACTTTCGAATTTTTATAAGGCCTTAAAGCTCTTGGGAAAAATTATCCAGACCCGTTATTTTTCTGAAAAATTTATTGGGGCAATACACAGTATACAAGGTATTGAAGCTTATCCATCTTAGTACAAAAGGTTTAATTAATTCTGAAACAGGATTTTAACATTTTTAATCGATCTTTGTTGACTAAATTGCGTTATTTGCTACATGCATGTCTCGTACATCAGAAGTTTCATTGTTTTTTTCTATGTGCTTCGAAACGCTCCAAATCTAACGGATTGATTATCCATTTTTGTAGCAACTACTAATTCATTTGCTCTTGAACCAAGATACTCACGTTGTGAAGCATAACCACCAATTATTTCATTTGAATTTAAATTTAATTATTGGTTAAACGAGTCTGAATTACTTTAAATAACCAATAATCTTTACATAAACGATCTTTACACCGAATCGACAATCCATTGGTATTTAAATTTACACTTGGAATAAAGATATATATATACACGTTGTGACGCAGTAACAGTTTATGATAACTCGGAATAATAATTTTAAGTAAATCAATAAAAAATAACAAAAGGTTTACCAAATTAATTATACCCGTGCATAATCTTAGAATAGTGATATTCTTTGTGTGACCTTTTAATCATTGACAAATAATATCATTGGATCAAAAATGGAACCCCGGGTTATTTATTCTTTATTAAATTTCTTAATTTCTTTCTTTTTTTTACATACAATTCATAAAATTTCATAAATTTCTTAAGTGGCATAAGGTATATCATAATCATATTATTTTTCATCGTCATTCGATGTTTCGTAATTTGTCACGATTTCATTCTCCGAACTAGAATTACGTGAAATGTAGCCTTCATTTAATATATAATTTACAGCGTTACCGATTCCTCCGAGTAATTGACCTTTTTATTTCAGAGAATTATTAACATTATTAATATTATAATTTATCATTTATTAGGTATCATTATTAAAGATTATTATGCAAAAAACGCTATACCTGTAGCAGCTAAAACATAAATCCAAGCGTCATCAATCTAAAGAAAAGAAATTTTTTTTTTTTTGGTTTAAAATAAAACTAGGTAAATTCATCTCAAAATACAATTTTATAAAAACTCACGTAAAACCATCGCGTAATAAGATGAACCTGTACAGGAGTCCATTGAAGTAAAAATACGAGCATATAGCTGATAATTTTTTTCGCGGCTCTTTTCTCTTTTTTTTCAATTTCTTCACGCTTTCTCATAGCCGCGCTATCCAATTCGTCATCAGCATTAGTAATGCTTGATTCATCATCATCTCTTTTTGACATGAGAGATTGTAAAATCCGAATATAACAAAATAATATAACTATCAGCGACAATGTCACCAATACGAATAATATCGAGGAAGAAACAATTTGTCCCGATCTTCCAAAACACCTTAGAATACATAAAAAATAAATAAATAAATAATTCTTTTAATATAAACGGTTCTATGAATGTGTAGTATATAACATACCAGAATTTACGTGCACCGTGATTCGGAATATTTATAACTTGAAAAGTCGCGGAAATACCTATGACGATTAACCAAAGTTTATAATCGTATGGTCCATATTCAAAATAAATTTCACAACAAACGCGTGTATATGTAATCGAACTATCATGATTTTGCCAAAAAGAAAAAAAAAAAAGGTTGAGAATCTTTTTTCAAATTCCAAATGCAAAATAAAAAATTAAACAATTTAAAAAGCCTATTCCGCTTCTTCGAACTTACGCTATAACGCTATATAACGTTAGGTTTATCGTTAGAATTCCCCAATGAACCGTACTGATGATACGACACATTGGTTGATCCCAAATTTGAGCAAAAATTGCCGTATGTATCTACATTGTTGCGCAGAAGAATGTTAGCGTACGCGTGTTTTATCGAAAATCATTCAAAAATTGACAAGTACTTACAATATTTATGAAAAAGGCAATGTTAATGAGGAAATCTAGGTTAACGCGTGTTAAGAAAAAATCAAAATGTAAATCTTGAATTAACATGGTACAGATTTGGGTAAATTGTATCACGGTGCTTACCAGAAAAAGCAGTATAAAATGGTAATAAATATATCATTGGCAAGGATCTTTTTTTATTTAATATCCACTGCCTGTAGGTCCGGTAAAATACATAAGAACATCCGCATAAACTCAATATAGTCATTATTATCGTTACGTATACCACGGTAAGAAAATCTTTTAAATTTTCGGGTGAATCTAATCGTGGAGGTTGAGGTGATTTGTCCACGTCGTTTTCTTCATCATATGCTAAAGCATTGAAGAACAGTATCGGTAGGATTGAAAGTATTGTAAGGAGGTGATTTGATTTTGATTTATAAAACATCTTTATAAAAAAACGAGTGTATGTTTAAAAAGAATGAATGACTTTAAATATCGGTTGAGGGACACCTTCTTAAGGGCAAAGATAACAATAATAACAACAATTGGTTAACTAAACGCGAATTCGTTAGTTTTATATAAATAAATGTTGTTATTATTTAGAATAAAATTTGTAGCCCGCCTAAGTTGCGTTACAAATAAATGAGTATCCTTATCAGTATGCTTCGTATTTCATTACCTACATCAATCATGATGGGTGACACAAAAGAATTTGAGTCAGCCTTTATGGGTTTAAAACGTTTATTTACCCACCTTTATATGTAATGTACGATTTTCTTTTCTAATCTGTCTAAATAAAGTAACCCTTACGAAATATTGTTTATTTCTTTTAATCTTACCGAAAATTCAAAAAAAAAAAAAAAAAAAAGTTTTTTTCCAATTTGGTCAATTGCCGAAATTCATTGACGCATGCAAATCATTCCGCGGAATAAAGTCGAATCCAACTTTTAAACTAAATACAATTTCCAAAATCTTTGCGAAAAAGTCTCCAATGATATTTCTAAAATGAAGTTTACATGAAATTGTCTCCAAGTTGTGAAGTTTGAATCAGAAAAATGTATCCGCTAAATTTGCGTAAAGTTCACGAATTTTATTTATCTACGGATATGTATGTATTTCATGTGACACAGACAAAATCCATGAGATGTGTAGGATGCATTATTGACAGCAGCTAATTAAGATGGATGTAAAGATGTTGATTGTATCACGCGTTCTTAACTTTACGATTAATGATAATAAACTTAGTCATCAAATTTATTAAACTTAATCTAAAAAGAAATTAGAATTGTAAAATATTTTTGGGAAAAACGTGGCGCAGAAAAATATCGGATCTATTCGGGTGAATTCTAAAACCGGGAAGAGAGAGATATAAGTGTTTTTTTTTTTTTTTTTGCGATAAAAAAATAATATCTATTAATATTATATTACATTATCATACATTAATATCATCTTTAAAATTTATCTTATTGTTACTTTGACTTTCATTATTTAATATGATATTGCTATCTTCGTTCTTATCCATATTATTTGTATCATAGGTATCCTTAACTTTGCTTATTTCAGTTACATCATCATCAGTATTATTCTCATTTGTGATTCCTAAACATTCGATAATTGGGGTTTCGAGTCCTGTTGATGCACTAACAACAATTCCTTCATTTATCATGTATTGAATTGCATTGCCAATTCCTCCCATTGACTTTCCTATTAATCGTTGAATTTAATTAAAAAATTTAATATATTATGTTATGTTTCATATATTTTTTTTTTTTTTTTTTTTAGGTATTATTGATGTTACGTACCCATAGCTGCTAAAATGTAAATCCAAATACCATCAATCTATATAATATATTTATTTAATTTTTTTTTTTTTTTTTTTAAAAAAAAATAAAATAAAATAAAATAAAATAAAAATTAATAATTAAAAAACATTTTTTTTTTTTTTTAAAAAAAAATGACATTTCTAATATAAATATTTTACCCCCCGAATTATGCATGTAACATAAATTAGTATAGGAATCCATTGTAAAACAAATACTAGGACGTAACTCATGATTTTTTGAGAAGCTCTTTTTTCAATTTCAATACGATTTTTTAAAATGATACTTTCAACATTATTGTCATCAAGATTTTCTGATGATGTTGATGTTGACACGGTGTAACAAGAAGTTCGAACGTTCATTACTTCTTTTAATATGCTGGCGTAACAAACTAATATGATCACTAACGTAAGAGATATCAATACAAATAATATGATGGTGGAAATTATTTGTCCTGATCTCCCAGTACACCTACAAATAAAATTAAATAAAAAACTAAATCTCTTATTTTTGGTTAACTTTATACAGTATGTGATGGACTTACCAATATTTACGTGGTCCATGATTTTTGTAGTTCAATATCTGAAATATTACCGATAAAAACAAGACCAACGACCAAAGTTTATAATCGCCTTTACCATAATTAAAGAACATTCCACGGCAAATTCGAAGATATGTTAAAATTCTATTTCGATTAAAAGAAATTTTTTTTTTTACATCATGACTTTTTTTATAAAATTATTAGATTGTATAATGCTTACGCTATGGTCCCGTATAACGACAAATTAATTGAAACAAAGAACCAATTAACATTGCTAATCACAGCACAAGCCGCTCCTTTCCATGCATACCCGTAGATCATTGGGTGTATCTACTCAAAAGAAAATAGTTTCGAAATCAAATTAATCAAATTCAACAACTTTAAAACTTAAAAGGTGTATATAATAATGCTTACGTTATTTGTGAAAAGAATCATATTTAAAAGAAGATCTGAAAAAAAAAAAACACGCTCAACAATATGCAACATGATTAGATGAGAAGAATCAACATTACCTACCTGTACAGGCGGTGTAAAACGGCAACTTGTGAATCATGTTTAATGATTTTTTTCTTAATTTATTAAACTTCCATTGCTTATATGTTCTATAAAATACATAAAAGCATCCGCTTAAACTTATGAAAACAATTGTCGAAGTATAATATACTATTGTATGTAAATTCTTTCTATTATCGGGTGTATTTAGATATTTTGGAACATCTTGATTTTCTTTTTGTGCTAGGACGCCAACGAATAGGATTGTTATCATCATTAATTGCGATTTGGAAATGAAAACGTTGGGTAGCATAATGTTAGAAAATAAATTGACAAGAAAAGAAAGTTATAATATCTCTTTACGTAAGTGAACCTTGAAATAAACAAATAAGTATTGGGATTAAATGCTAATTTCATTAATTTTATATCATTTGGCGATGGGCGTACTGGCATTTACGCGAATCATTATGTGTTACAAACAAATTTAAAGATACTTGCCACCTTGCCATATAAATCTAATTCGATTGGTTATCTTCTTAATTTTTAACTTGTTCGGAACTTCCATTTAACAAAATTCTTGACATTTCTAAAAAAGAAGAACTTTAGTAATTGTTAATTTCTTTTTTTTTTCTTTTACAAATAATCATTATCATATGTTATTTATTTACTGTGTAATTTATGTAAAATGTTTGTTTTTTTTTAAAAAAAAAAAAAAAGTCCTATGCTGTTAATAACTTACTTTGTGTCATATTATTCCACCATTCACGTTTGAAACTGGCATGTTGTAATTGATTCAGATCGTTATAGTCCCTTATGGTAATTAACGTCGACATTATGCGATCAAAATTCCCCATTAAGAAAATATTCGGAGTCCAATAATTCAACATCTCGATAAAGAAATCTTACTAATTTAGTAATGTCCCCCACAAATTAACCAATGATTTCGAGTTTAAAATTAAAAATCAAAGGAAAATTTACGTATCACAGTAAATGTTTCCTCCTCTTTTACAATAACAATTGTAGCAAAACCGGTAGTAACCGACAACTTGTTAACGATCTTATATCTAAATTAGTAAAACCTTTCCTATCCTTTTAAGACAATATTATTAATAATTTGACCCAACTCTTCAAAAGGATTCAATGAATATGCAACAATAAATTTGAAGTTTATCATGATCAACATCTGTTTTGCCCCTAAATATCGAAAAATTGTAATCTGCGTAACTCACTACCTTATCCTCTTGCAGTTTCTATATTATACTGGTACATCTAGAAAAAAAGATTAGATTAGATTCAAGTACATGACAGTCATGAAATACTGTAAATTCATTATTTATAACCCGGGAAAATTTTGTGAACATAATTCGTTCAAAAATTTTCGAAATTCGAAATTCTAAGATAAATAAATCATTTTGGTAAAATTCTTATCAAAGTTATAAGTTATTTTTATACTATTATATATCTCTTTAACATGTCAAATTCATGTCCAATGATATATTGTTATTAATTAACGCATGCATGCAGGACCCTGCATAGATTGTCGTGAATTAAAAATGTAAATATTTGTCCCCCTAGATGTGTCATGATCAAAATGTGGCTGAATAAAAAAAAAAAACACAATAACTTTTTATATATACGGTTTCCGACTTTTCATTTCGGATTCAGCTTTTTGTAATTTTTGTAAACGCCAAGCATCATGAGTTCGAAAATTATTATATAAATATTTCCAACTTCCAAAACTCGACCCGCATTCATATAATTATGATTTGTTGCTACAAATCATACGATTTATATGCTATTAAAATTTTGGGAAGGATCAAATTTCGCGTGATCGATTTGTCTACAGCGTTATTATTTATGTTACAATTATCCAATTACAGTATATATGGTTGATATTTTCCTCCGAGTTTTCCGAAAACACATTTATTATATGAAAAATAATATTCTGGTTTTTTTGCAATCAATTTACAATTATAACAAGGCGGTAGGTATCGTCTAAATAAACTTAAAAAAATTCTTATAGGCTTTGAAAATTTCCCTGAAGAATAAATAATAAAATAAACCAATTGAAATCAAAATCATCCTAAAGAAAATTTTTTCAGACATTGATGAAATTTGATTTTATCAATCAAAAAAAAAAAGTTATAAAATTAAAATAATTAAAGCATTTCTAATCAATAATTTGAATATTTCCATTTGTTATTATCAATTTAATACAGATAGTTTTTTTTTTTTTTTTTAGATTTTCGTTAAAATTAAATAAATATTAAGTAATAAATCTTATTTTTTATATATTAAATTAAACCTTTTTTTTTTTTTATTAATATTTTGATAAATATGATAAAGATAGATCTTTTGAAATAAATAAAATGAATTAAAAATAGTATAAATATTTAATAAATAAATAAAAACTAATGTAATAAATATTATATATAATTAAGAAAATTTCTTAGTAAACACGGGGTGCATGAACACGGGTCATGTGATATGCAGTATATAACTTAGTATACTTAGTTCGTGTGTAGTGATGGACCCCTGAATTATTAGTTAATAATTTTTATTATTAATTTTAGCAATTAATAATAACTGTAATAAATATTTTAATTATGCAACAAGCGCAGAAATTTTAATTGTGATCTTTGTGTGATTATTGTGATAATTTTGATGACTTTTTAAATATATATGTAAATGATTTTTAAAAAAATAATACTTCAAATTTTTTTTTTTAAAATAATAATAATAATAATAATGGATTAATTTGAAAATTTTGAAATTTTAGATAATGCCTTTTTAAAGAACCTTCAAATAATAGACTTGTTAAAAAACCTAAACTTGATACCAAAGATAGATCAAAGTATAGTTTTGTTTAGAAACCTTTTATAACTATAGTTGACTTTAATTACTGTCAAATAATTATAACTTTAGTTAAAAAATCTGTTGATAAATGTAATCATAAAGTAATATAATCAATCATTTATACAAAGTACATAAGGATAATTATCTTATAAAAGAAGAAAAGATAAATATTTATATATTTAATTTGAAATTATATTATATAAAAATTTTTATTAATTTATTTTATTTTATTTTAATAAATTTAAATTCAAGAATAAAAAGATATGAAAAATTATATTATTCTATTTCATTTTATAAGTAAAGACCAAAAGTTTTTTTTGAAGAAAAAATGTTTAAAGTTTATTATTGAAAGTAAGCAAGAAACTATTTCATATTTTAGAAAATAAAAAATTTAAAAAATTTTTTAGATTTAAATTCTTTTTTGAAATTTCAACTGATAAATTTTAAATATTCTTTTAAATAGTTTTTAAAATAAAGATGATTTAAAAAAATTTTAATAATAGATAAAATTAGTTTAACTTATGATTTTGGATATTTAAAGGATAATATAATTACATTGAAATTATAATATATTAAATATTAATAAATATATTATACAAGAAGCATTTTAACTTTTTTAACATATTTAAATATATATAATAAAGTTATTAAAGATAATTGAAGAAATTTATATATAAATAATAAAATATCTTTTATTACAACTGATAATGTTAAAAGTATAATTAAAGTATTAGATTATTAGGAAAAAAAATATGATATTAATATACTGCTTATAAATTATAATTAGATATTAGAAAAATTTTGAATGTTAATCAAAATATTCAAAATTTTGTTTTAAGAATTAAAAGAATAATATATTTTTTTAATTCATTTAAAAATTAAAATATTTAATAATAATATAAGAAAGTTTAAATTATATAAAAACTTATAAAATAATTAAAAATATTTTAACTAGATAGAATTTTTCTTATTATTCTTAAACAAGATTATTAAAATTAAAAAAACTATAATTTATTTACCTAATAAATTAAAAGTTAATTATTCCTTTAAGTATATTAAAATAAATTTGTTTACAATTCATTTAATAATTAAAAATTAATATTTTTATAATAAATTTTATGATATTTTTTAAGTAAAAATTCAAAAAAGAATGTAATTAATTAATAGAACTTTAAACAGATCAGGTCAAGTTGAATAATTAACTTAATCTAATTTGAAGTATCAAATTATGTCAGATTACAGATCAGGTTAAAAAAATTGAAAAAATATTTTTTTAAAATATCTTAATATTTAGTAATTGATAAATAATATATTATAGTTCATTGGATTTATCTTAATGTGATAAATTAAATAATAGATATTTTATTTTAAATGAATTAATATTGATGAAGTTATATATTATTTTAAATTTATATATTAATCTAAAAGATATTATTACAATTGATGATAAATAAGCATCATATAGTTATAACTAGTTGTAATATTATTTTTATATTAATCTATAATATGCATTCTAAAATTTTTATATAATAAAATTAAACAAGTTATATCTTAATAACTATAAATTTATAATTAATAAATATAGTTTATTTAATTCATTTTTATAAGAGAAATCAAATGATAGTTATATTATCTCAAATAGATTGATATTACCAAAGATATTAAATTTTGAATTTTTTTAATTAAAAAATTCAGATTAAATTGGATATTTTACTTGACCTAATTTGAATTTTTTGAGTTAATCTATAAGATTATTTAATTTGTTAAATCAAATTTAAGGTTTATTAATTAATGATATTTTAAAGATAAATATATGATAAATTATTATAAAAAAAATAAATTTTTAAACTTATATATCTTATTATTTATTGATCTTAGAATATAAAAATATAATCATTTAATAGGTCTTAATAAGATGAATCTAATAAACTGAAATTTATTTTTTATAATTATTATTTTTTTTTTTAAAGACGTGATTATGCAAAATTTTATTATATATAAAAAACAATTTCAGTATAAAATACATGAAAATTCCAAGACAGATACAAAAATAGAAAAATAAAATTGCTGTCTAATATTCATTACTAGAAAACTAGCTCCTATCAGATCAACTGATTGTCTTGTCTGATTCTGATTATAAAGATTTACTAAATAATTATCAATACCAAACTATAAAAGGGAACATTAGAATAACTGGTTATCACCTGTTTAAGAAGAGAGATCAATGACGACTATATTTGTAAGAATTATTGATTAGAGTAATATGATCAAAGATATCTGTATTATTGGCAAATAAAGTGTTAGAGAAACTATTAATAAAAAAGATAACGTTAAATGTAGCAAAATTACTTTTCTTCTATCTTTTCATTATATGTAAAGATCTTTCTTTATCTAAAGTTAAAGTACATCTAGTTTTTTATATATTGTTATAGACTTGAGTAAAAATAAAATTGAAAAAAAAGGAGAGGATAGATGAGGTGATAGAGAAAGATTTAATAAATATTGTTAAGGTTGATAACAAAATATTAAGGATAATACTTTTTATAAGGTCAATAAAGGAGAAATCATATAGATTTGCTTGTAATAACTATATTGTATGTGAAGGGTTTAAAAGATTATTGATATTATCTGTAAATACGAATTTGAAAGTATAAATGAATAATTGTAATTTTAAATGAGCAATAGATTCAGAAATCAGAGATCGCTTATTTTGTCTGATAGTAGAATAAAGTCAGATATGGTTTAAATCTTCATTGTAACTATTACATTAATAGTATTTTTAGAGAGGTAAATATAACTGAGGTTGAGTAGCTTTCATAAATTAAACTGTTGGGAGCTGTTTTAGAAGAAATTTAAGTTTTCTACTACAATTTCTTGTTTTAGTAAAAGATGTGACAGATGCAGATTCAGATTGAATAAAGTAAAAGATTAAAAGTCAATTCATTTATATGTATTAATACTTAGTATTTCGTTTGAG